AAAAAAAAAAAAAAAAAAAAAAAAAAAAAAAAAAAAAAAAGTCATCTGTCAAGCCCTAAAGTTTGGGAGAGTCCCAGATTTTCAAAATATTTTTGTCGAGTGAGAAAGACATGGTAGGGAGTGAGAAACAATGTGACTTTTACAGTAATTTAGTAGTATTTCTACCTATAATTACTATATAACTTCACTTTCTGTAATTAGTTCAATTACTCAGTTTTTAATACATTCAAATTAAATCTATATTCTTTTTTCAACTTATGAAAAACTTATGATAGTTTCTGGCCCTACTATGAATTGCTGAATTATTATGGTGGGCATCTAATATGGCTGAAGCCCTTAAAGCAACAGTTTATCTTCCCAGAGACCACCTCCCCGCTGCTTCTCCAACCCAGCCCAGGGTGCAATTTCCTTCCACCTTTCGCACCACCACAGGGAAGACCGCAATCAGCTCCTCAGATATTTCTAAACATCCTCCTCAAACCCTGCCCGCAAGGAAAGTCCATAAAAGCTTTTTTTTGTCTCAGGCTAAAGGATCTACCTGACCCATCTGCCCTCTATCCGCTCCTTGTCTTTGGAGTTAATAAAGGCTTCTTTTATCCTTCTTATCTCTTTACTGTGCCTCCATAAAACCTATCAATGAATACTGATTTCAGAAAATTCTGGAAAGACAGAATCTACTTCTGATAACTTTTGCACAAAATATCTGCCCTTGTATTATCATTCAATATTTAAAAAACTAGCCTATGATGCATTATGTGATTCAATCCTATCCTAATAAGTTATTTTCACTGACTCTAGATATTATCGTGAAATCTACTGACTCTACAGACCAACAAAACAAAAATTCCGGAATGGACATGTTCAAATGACACCGGCCAGTTAATAATAAACCTCAGGTAGGCATTGATCAGAAGTAGTCAAATCCTCAACTAAGCCGGCCCTTTTGTGGAGGACTGGGCCTCTCTTGTAGAGAGCCTATACCACGAATCGCGGCATCAGAACCAAATCCCTAGAGACCACTGGGTGAGGCCTGCTGCATCCCTCGGAGCCTGCGCTAGATTACCCCTCCCATACAGCATGCTAAGATGGCGCCCATTTCCTGCTTCCGCGTTTGCTGTACTTTCCATCTGTGATGATGTAAGATGCCCCCTGAGAATGTAACCAATGATATTGCAATACGTGTTAACCCTC